TGTTCAGAGGACATCTGTTCGTCCGCATTAGGAGTCAAACTGTTGTGTCTTGCTTCCTGTGCCCTCGGGCACCCAGGTGGGTCAGACTTTTGAATTAATGGCTCCGTGGAAGGTTCCCCAAGGAAACCTAACACCTGTTTCCTTTCTGGTAGGCTTTTAAATCGGAGGCTGTGGGTAGGGCCCCATAACAAAACTGCACCTTCTTTCATTACCTCGTGGATCAGACTTTGTGTCAAAGGCTCAAGGTGGGACACCATATTAAGGCCTCCTTCGGCCTGGGTAACCGGGAAGTATCATTCGCCCGTGCATTTCGGTGTCCACCGATGTCCCATCTAAACCATATCTATCAGGGTCACTATTCATTGGTTTGCCCCATACTAGAGTCTCCTTCCGGGTAGGTGGCGGTTGTCAACATGACTGGTCTGAATGGCAAGAGCTTCCATGCTTCGTTATCAAGTCATGGACTCACCCTACCGGGTTCATTTCTATCGACACGGGCAAAAAGGCTTCTACGATATAAACGATCCTCTGACCTCTGAAGTAGATCGCCTAACCACCGTAACCAGCTGATCCATCCAGGGGGATGACCCTCTAGGACAACTGTCGGCTGCGCGTCGGTATTACTCCTCTGATGTTCCCAGAATCGCTAAATGTTTCTTAACCATCGATGGTCAAACACAGAGAGTCTTCGAAGGTCTAGACGCAACGGTCATGTCTCTAATCCATAAAGTGGGGCAGATCAGACTCCGGCATTGTGCACTCTATCTCTGACGGTCAGGCTGGTGTCATGTAGGCGCCATGAGTGTCCGGAGTTAGTAAACGTTACCTTGGCCTTCAGATCTCGGCAAGCAATTTTGTCTTCCGCTCGTCCACCGGGATTTATGCTGCTGTCTAGATAGACGAACGTATCTACCACATCGATCGTTTCATAAGTTTCACACAAAGTTCTTGAGTTCACACAATGAAAGCATAAACTTCGGGTATGTTCCCACCTAGTTTTATAGCACCATTTTGCACTTTTCAGGTGGGAAAAGAGAACACCCTTGTCTGACACCAGTGGATTTGGTGAACTTCGCAGAGAATAGATTCTAGAAATCATTCAGCTGTAGCACCCTTTTAGTGCCTAGTTGCCATGCCATCAGTAGGATCCAAGAGGGCTCAGGTTGCCCAAGCGTAGACACGATTAACTGAGATGCCGGTGTTGGATCCGGACCACCAACCTTCTGTTCAGTAAGTCTGTCTGTTAACCATTGAGCTATTTCGAGCTCTTCGTCCACGGGAAGAGGCATATGAAGCCTTTCTAAGAGACAATTACTCAGAACGGATACCCTTCATGGCAAGACGCTACCACAACAGAATCTTAAGCATATCTGATCTCGATAAAAACGATCATTGTTAGCCGTCGGTGGAAGCGACGCAGCTCTAACACGCCACAAAGCGAAGGTATGATTAATGTAACCCCGGCCAGGACGCAACCCAGTTTGATTCTTGCTAATCTGACCTCCCAATAATTGACCAATCTGAGTAGGATAACATCAGAGCCCACCTTGGAAGCTACGACCACTAGACTGATGTCCCAGTGGTTTTCTCACAGCGTCCTTGCACCATTTTTGAACATGGCAATCACCGTCGGGACGTCACGTTAGCCACGATGAACTCGCCACCCTTTTTGAAGAGTGCAGGACACAAATCATCTGGACCAGAGGCTTTTTTGCGCCGAAGCAATCAAATTGCACGCCAGACTTCCGTTTCCAATGGTGGACTGGTATCCTCGTTCCACTCGGGCTCATTTAGTCCTTTCAGAGGTTTAGTTTATGGGAACCAGCCGAACTTTTCCAGCCCATCGTTAACACCTTTCTGTGAACGAATCGAGGTCCCATCCTTTTCGGAGATCGTTCCACTACGTACCATCCACTGACAAATTGATCAGACCAGCTGGAACAAACTGAAAAATAAATAGATCGCTCAGCTGCGACATGCTTTCAATACCTAGTTGCCGTGCGAACGGAAGAATGTACGAGGACTGGGATACCGCCAGGCTGCCAAACCTCGATAGGAGCAGTCGAGATGCAGGAGTTTGATTCGATCCATGGACCTTCCAGTCAGTAATCCCCCGCCTTAACCACTGAGCTATCTCGAGCTCAGCTGGAACAGGGTGCGATTGTTTTTCGTTACGTTAGCTTCTACTTCACTGGATTGTGCGATTCAATGTTTACCTTCTATTCCTGGACTCTTCGTACCTCGTGTTTGAGGGATCCTCACGCGCCATCGCAGTCGTTTGTTGCTGGTATAATTTGCATAGCTTCACCAGAGCTGCGGGTCGTAACGAGTTGTGTGAGCGATCCCGGATAAATGGTTTCGAAATCCGTGAACGTGTTTTTTCATCTCCAGTCGTCATCCAAATCACCATCACAACGGTCGTACTCGTCGAGTTCTGAAAGCTTTTCAGCCGACTGTACTCCATTTTTTAGCTACAGGGACGCAGTTGATGAATCGATTGGTTTTGAATCAACCGGCGTGTTTCAGAGAGAAAGCGAGTAAATACACGCACCTGCACACTGCTGTGCGAGAATCACCGGTAGCTGATTGCCCCATGGTCTAAATGAGTCCACGGCTGGTTTGCTGTTGGTGGTCTCCAAGTCGCGCAGTATGAGCAGTTGTGCTGGCTAAAAATAAATGGTTCTCAACACATGATAGAACTATTAACGTTAATTTTGAACATCAGCTCCGAATCTTTTACCAAGATGGGCTTCTTCCGGACTTATTTGACCAACCTTGGCATTCGTATCATCTGCCAGAACCCGTACTTCTCGCCGACCGAAGTAACCGTGACAAATTTCAAAGAAAGCAATCTTTTTTCAACTTCAAGGCTTCAGTCTATCGGAGCCTATCGGAGCAAACAAACCGTTTATGGCGTTAATATAACTGTTGGTTTAGCCATGAACTTACTCACCGGAAGGTCCGTAGTTCGAGCCCAAATTTCGCATCTCGACTGCTCGTGTTTAGGCTTGGGGAACTTCTTTCTTCCTCCCGGTGCCATGGCAGCTAGACACCGAGAGGGTGAACGATCGTCTATTGTTATTATTATTATTATTATTTCGTCGAAATGCATTCGTCTTACTTGAGCTAGTCAACCTAACAAGGCAAAGACAACTACTTACGGATATCCAGCCAAATAAAACACATAGCCCTGGGGCCTAACACAGTGGCCATGCAGCAGATAGCACACTGTATCAAGATCACCTGGCCCGAAGATGAAGTGTGATGAAATTTGTTCTTCCTGAACACTTCGAGATGTATAACCGAGACAGTATACATCTGCCAAAAAGAAATCAATTTTTGAGCAAGGGCCACCTTTTTCTCAATTAAACGTGGTGTGAACGGTAAGAGCAGCAGTATAAAACAAAGGGGCTTTCTTTGCTTCATTTTACTGGGCGGAAGTTTACATATGAAGTGACTATTAGGTGAGTAAATGTCTAACTAATCAGGGAGACCGAATCAGAAAAATCAAGGCATATGTGAAGGATCGGTGAATGAAGTATTGTACTCTCTAGGATTTCTTAGCATCTAGTCGTCCAGATATTTTTTCGCTACGATCTGGCAGTCTTAAAAACTTTGGCAGTATTTGTTATGAAAATTTCCGGGATAGTTCATCCTGAAATTGTTTTCAATGGGGCACATAAGGATATGAAGTGACCTCACCAGAATATTCATAGCTATCAAAGGCCTATCTGATTAGGGCAACGAAAATATGAGCCAAGCGGCTGATTATACACCGGTCGTCATCATCATCAGCTGCGAGAACCGCGTACTTGTCGTGCAGTGGTTATAGCTGCCACACGGCTTAAACTGAAGTGCATCCACGTTACAAACGCTATTTCCTTAGCAGGGGAACTATTGGGAATAGCCAGGCCGGGAGTATGGTTCAGGCCAGTAACCTCATGGATTCATAGCGCAAACTAGATCACTGGTATCCACTAGTGTTCACAACCACGGTACGGGAGAGGTCGTTCCAGGCCTATACTGAGAATATCAGAGGGTGTTTGTCTTCACCCAGCATTTCCAGGGCTTCTGGTTTCTGTTAGGGTGTCTAGGCAGATTGGCCTTACACCCCAGCAGCCTACTGGTTAATTCAGTGACAGCATTCGAAACCAGCCCGCCGATACTGCTTGCCATCGATGCCCATCGCGATGGATTCGCGAGCATCCTTTTTTCGTTATACAGCTGTTTCATTATTTTGCTCACTCTAGTTCGCGCCATAATGCCCAAGAAACAGTGTGAACGAAATCCACATCTACCTGTAGGCGTCTTGTTTATTTATTGACTACCAGTGACAATCTTGTATCAAGGCTGTCACATGCACTGCGTATCTACCTTCCTCACAGTCATACCAGACAACCACGTAACTTCGATTATCTGCTTGAACCGTTTCCTCCTATGCTTGGTTCTCATTCTCCTATTCTCCTTACCTTCAGTGCACGAAACTTGCAGCTATAACCACAGTACTTGTGGCTGAAGAGCTTAAATGTAATCAAATCCAGAAATTGAAGACCCGTCCACTCATGTATATTATGTATCAGTATGTGCTCCGCATTCGGCCCCTTGTTTTTATAATCTTGACTAAACCATCACTTGAGGAGTGATATTTTTATCCCAATTACCCAACCGAGTAAGCTAAGTGACATGACTCAACCGGAACGCAGGACAACTGTGCTCTAGTTAATTGAACCAACCATTGATGTTTCCACTGCATACATACATACTAATGTGTTTTCACTTTAATGCTTTTCCCGGTTGTTCTGATTGGTTGACAGTCTTGTTTGCAAGCCTCAAATCTGGCGTCGGTCCGTTACGGTGACTGGGAGTGCTCTAGTAACTGCACGCAGTCCGAACTATCCTATAGCACTGTTGACCACCAGCGTGCAACTCGTGACGCTCAGTGTTCAGCTCATGGTCCTGTCCAATGTAATGGCTTGTTTTCTTCTTATAGATGATCTATTCCGGCCGTTTAGAGATCCATGGCACCGTTGGTGTTCAGTGTTAAGATTCACTTGGTACAACTATGTGCCTTCCCGCATTTGTTTCTCTTGTACTTCTGGCACTGAAGTTGCATCCTGGTTACGCTGCTTCCCCGTGTCTCAGTTCTTCTGGTAAGAATCCCTTGTTGCTTCCCTCTGTGATGTCCATGCATTTTAGAAATTTTAACATGGAACCGGCATTTATATTTCGACAAAAAACCGTTTACACTGAAACTTGCGGCCACAGACGACCCGGTGCATCAACTTGTCAATCACATCTTTGCTATTCTCGCGCGTGAGCGCCTGGGCTATCAAAATGTTGAGTTCGTGCATTTGGAAGAGGACGATGATATTGCACGAACGATAGACGGCCTTAAGCCCAGTGATAAAAGGTAAAGCTTATTTTTTTGTTCAGATCTGGTCTCATCTCGAAAGTTCAGTCGAATGCTTTATTTCACTAGGATTCATTAGATGAATCTAGAATAATCGTATACGTGATCTTTTGATTAAAGCTTGCATGTTGTACTAGACCAGATCAAGCACTGCCGGTGGGTTTGGACAGCCTCAGTTTTGACCGGCTTATTCAGGTGCGATATTCCATAATCTTTTTCGACAGTATGACATCAGTGTTCAACACTGATGCTTTGCTGCCGTTCGCTACATTCCAACTATTCACCCTTATTCAGTTGGTCAGCTTAATAAGTCCACAGCTGGTTAAAACCAATGTTTTCATCATGAAGTACAATCATGGTAAACTGAATTAGTTCATTTCTTGTAGGTTTTGTTTGTCTGTCTAGATTCTGTAGTTCTACCCTTTGCTTCCCTCCTTGAAGTAGTGATATATGTCAGGGCAGACAAGATGTATTGGCGAACAGAGATAGTGCGGCAAATACAATAGATAACCATAGCCCAACTGCGATATAAGGAACTCAGTTGGGCAGCAGAACTGTATTGATCGAACGTCGGCCTTGTGGAGACCCAGCACATCATAATCTGTACATGGTAGACTGGATTTCCAAAGAGCCTTCTCAGACGAGATCGATTCAGTTCGGTTTTCCAGCCCTGAATCGCATTTCAGTGTACGTTGATTTTAGATGCTATCCTTAGGAGGATAACGACAGTATAACTGAACATTCCCTGTACTCGATAAAGTGAAGAAAGACATGGAGTAGGTGTAAATGGATACAACAGCGCTGCTGACCACTTGGGTTGCTGCATCGCTGAGGATACCCAACTTTTGCAGGGTTAGATATACCATACTCTCATATCCCGGGTGACATTACCCAATATACTATCCCGAGTTGTCGTTGACAAGCAGTCAGCTGACGTCAAAATCACTAACCTTATTGCTCTTGGTATGATCTTTATCAGGTGGTATGCCCCACTCCGCTTGATTGCCAATACCACAAGAGAAGCTGTCCAAGCTAGCCATTCTCTTCCTTTTACTTCAGTTCTTTAACCACGCACCCACCCATGGTAACTCTCCATTGCAGAGCTGAACTATAAAACTTTTTGCCCAAGAATAACCCGTCTATTGAACTCCATATAAAGTTTCACCTTAGGCTTTTATTGCCTCCGATTCTTGGGACGCCAAACTAACGTCTAGCTCCGCAACACGCCGTGACGCCTACCTTCCCGTGCTGTTCTTTATCATTCTACTGTTTTTGTGAAATATGTCTGACTATAGGCTCTCTTCCCTTTACGGTCCACTTCTACGTGTGATAAGATGCCTTATTCTTTATTCCATTCCCGACGAGACGAATTTTGTGGGATGGTCGAATTCGTCAAAACCACCACTCGTTTTCACATCCTCCTTTTCAGTCATACCTCTTTGCCGAATGTACACTTGAATCTACTCCTGTGGCTTCCCAGTGGAATCGATATCAACCACTGGGCACCACCGTCAACCATCACTGATCACGGTCCCCTTGGGCCTACGCGTCAGTGGGAATTGAGATCTCAGTCCGAGGTGAGTGCTCGTCAGTGCCTTCAGTCACTTTTCGCATGCGATAAGGCATGTCTCAAATTCTTGACCGTATCTTTATGATTAAGACTCACAGCACGTTACGTCATATTTTTTTAAACTCATACATTCCAGTCCAAAGTTAGTGGTTTTGGATTTGAATATCTCGTTTTCAGTTGAATTTGCTGATATCATTCTTACCATTACAGTGAAGCACCCCAATCAGCGGTGCTTACGGAGAACTAATGAGGTTTTCCAAAGTACACTCTGTCCACAGAACTGTGGCGTCACGTAAACAGTCTCGCCAGTCAATACCTTCAGGCTTCCACACAAAAGGTTCCATCTCGACCTTCCACATATGATCTCACTGTTTGGAGCTCGGCATCCAAACGACCGTCCCATCGTCCATGCACCACAAAAGCCAGTTGGAAATATAAGAAATATTGCAGCGCGGCCCTTCTTCAACCTATGAGCCAGCAAATGGATAAAATTGGCGACTATATGGTCGCTCGAGTACGTGCGTATACGGATTGCGTAATGAGATCCGAGCCGAGTTCGGCCCGAAATCCACCCTTGAATACGCATGATTCTTACTCGAAGCCGGAGCTTTTGTTCACAGTACAACCCAGCCAGCCTCATCCAAACATTAAATCTCTGATAGTTCCATGGCTTTGCTGGAGACCCGGTGACAGATTCATTCGAGGCGCAACTGTAACTCGGCCCGACGTCAGGTGAAACTGAGTACCCGTGCAGACCGAAAAGCTTGATGGACCCCAACTGCCGAAGAGGTGGAAGGTGCGAATAATATCGGAAACTTCCGCAGACTGTTCCACTTGATTCGTTTGACTGGTGCTTGTCATTAAAGCTATCAGTGACCGCGATGACCATCTGACACTTGGAAAGGGATAGCCTTGGGAAAAATACTTCGAACAGCAATTTATTAGGCCACCTGCTCCCTCAAATGCGGAATACCGGCCTTCAACAGAAAGATGTACTATGAAGTCCCCTTTAGTCTTAGAATAATCATACTCGACAGCATGGCGTCAGTGTTCAACATCGATGTTTCGCTGCCGTACAGCCATGATTTATTTGAAAGCCTTATTGTCAAGAAAATGGTAAAGGGACTTTGTGCTAGCTTATCACAATCATTCCCAGATGCCTGCAACTCCAGACATTCACTTAGGAAATCTGGATGGAAACTGACAACAAGAACGCCACTGACATCGGTAGGCAGCCATTTCTCTTAGTGTTTCCAACTAGGTGCAGTGAGGATCACGTGGTCCCCATCCTGGAAGGCGAGTAGCCCCAACTACACCCAAACGTTTCGTGATTTTTTTCCATAGCCCTCTGCCAAGTTAGGGGTCGGCCACCTCTGCTTCCGCCACTCTGAGTTGAGCATGGAAAACAGCACTCTCTTCGGAAAACGATGATTCGACATACGCAACACATGTCCCAACCAACGCAGTTTCTGGTGCTGGACACATTCTCCAATGGAAATACCCGTTGCACAACGGGAAACTCGCTTTCTAGATGCCCCATTATGGATGCGCCGACACTAATCCCCACGAGCTATAGTTCTGAGATAACGATTGTCGAACACCTGAAGACATCTCAGTTTTGCTACTCGAACAGGCGTATTCTCACAGCCATACAACAAAACAGTTCGGACTGTAGCTTGATACACACGTCCCCTGAGATTCAGAGATACACCACTTTGAAGGGTCCTTAGAATTGTGCCTTGGAAGTGTCCGAATGTATATTCATACTCAAGCGTCATCGTTCCTCTGGTCCTGGCTACATCCCATCCGTTCTTTTCAAGGATGAAGGTGAATTTCTCATCTAGTGCCTGTCTACCGTCTGCGTGTACTCCTCTATCTAGGAAACTTCCCCCGACAACTGTGCTGAATCTGTAATGGTGCCCATTTTCAAATAGGGTACTCTCAGTGAATGCAGTAACCGCAGAGGCGTCAGTTTGACTCCCGTTGTAACAAGGCACCACTGATTCTTTATCATCTTACGGCGGCACGCGAAACATTGACCGATGAGCGTCAAATGAGGTTGCGACTGAGTAGAGGCTGCGTCGACCACATCTTCACACACCGTCAGGTATTAGGGAAAAGCCATGGTGCGCTCGATCCCTTCGATCGGTCACTTCTGTTAGCCACACTTGTTCAGCAGATGTTGCCCCAGAATATGGTCCCTCTATTCACATACTCCTGAGCGTGTGCGTGTGGTGAAACCTTTAAACGCTTTCTTACGAACTGTGGGATCCACTCCCTCCTAGTTTTGAGTCATATCCTTTCTTAGGGTTGTTGGGCTTCCCCTAACGCGTATTAGGAAGATTCCGAAAACGTTTCACGTTTTTTTTTACTTCTTATGTATATATCGGCGTGAATCCAACTCATTTCCCGATGCAACGATGTCAGCCACATTTGAACCAGTGCTAATCAATCAGAAATCGACAAATTTCTTTACTGTAGACTGAATAATGACGTTAGCTGAATTTTTCGCAAACGACTGAAGAGTGATGCACGCTGAAACAGAATAAAAAATCCCCCCCCCCCCCTGTAGTTTTCCGGGTCATCGCGATCCAAGAAAAACACCTGGTCTTTCAAATTTGAGAATTCATGTTCAGAAAACCCGTCTGCATACTTCGAACGAATTTCTGCCCTTATTGATCGAGGTGAGTTTTCTCGCTCCACGTTTATTTGTCTACCCAAATAGACTGATGTATCGATTAACTGGCCGGATGTTTTTTTCTCTTACACGCTTTCTTTGTTGGCTAAGTTTAGACCATGTCATTTGTAATGTGTTCAGTTGGAGCATCATAACACAATGCCAAGAATCATGATGCGATCGCTTGCAGTTGCTGTAAGTTGATGTTGAGTGTCAGGTCTGATTTACTTTAGTCACTTTGGGCGCATACAAATGTCCTATTGATTGTATGCAAGTTTGTCGTGAACAAGCATCCTTTTTGGCTTCATCGAACAACCTGTACGTTGATTCCAGCCGTAGTACAATCATGTCCCGACCACTGTCCATATGTTACAAGTAATCGGTTGCTTTGATGGTGTCCTCGATAGTGGACAGGCCCTGGACTCGGCTTCATCAGTGAGTGTGCGCACCATTAGGTGCATTTTCACACCTGTCGCTACAAGAACTCATGAACACTGTGCACCTTTCATCTTAAAACAGCTGTTTTCGTCTGGAATCCATGCGGATTTCAGGGCCGTCCATTCTGATACCGGACCGATAGATAGGAATATGCCAGCAAGACAGTCAGGTGTTCGTTATTGATTCATGAGAATCGCCTGAATTAGTCGCAGACTGAATGATGAGGGGTTGCAAATAACGATCCTGTGTAAGGATCGACAACGGTTGCTCAGTCTGAATCCCACACACGGGGCGCCATACATGAGTCCGGAACGCAAGGGTTCGAGATAGATCAGTGGTTACGGTGCAAACTGGTCGGACCCCCCTCCCCCGGCATCCGGACTGCTGTTGTCTCCGTTTGGGCAACTTAGCGGTATCTCGGCCCTCATACTTCCCTTCGATTGCGTGGCAGCCAGGCCGTCATTTCTTAGTGCTTCAGCAGACCTCCGAAATGCCGAAAGCAAGAAATTGCACGCAGTACCGACTTGCAGACCTCCGAAATGCCGAAAGCAAGAAATTGAACGCAGTACCGACCTAGGCACCTGAGACACCCAGGACCACTGTGAGGCTGTTCAGCTCCTGAAGTAGACCGAGAGTGCGAGAAGCGAAGCAGTGGATAAAACCAAGTCTGCATTCTTAGTGGGTAAGGTCGTTTTGCTCTGAACTGTTTACCACTATCGGTGACTTGCTCATACTCACCAGTCTCACATCGGCTTATTGAGACCGAAATCTTATGAAAACTGATTTTACGTCAAAATGGAAGGTCTCGTGTATGTTCCAGTTCCAAACTGCTTCACAAAGTTTTCACAGCCCCTGTACAATGCGCTAGAAGTTAGGGGAATACCAAGGCCCAACTTACCTCCAAAGTTACGACCTTTCAGACTGGTTTACAAAGTTGGGGTCGCAGGTCGCATCATGAACACGGTCTGAAGATCTTGGTTGAGGTAACATGCGTGGTGATGGATACCACATAAACGCCAAGTAGACCTCTGTTTGGCCTCCGAGAATGCTATTCGAGCAGAAGCGAGTGACGTGTCCGGTGGCTTGACCAGTAAACATGTGGGGATTAAGTTGTACTTCCAGCATCTTTTATTGAGTACGCAGTTGGTGGTTCTCCCAGTTTGCCTGCGACCATGCCCGTCGAACATAGTCCCTTGACAATTGGTGAACACATGGTTTGTGGATGTTTTGAATCAATTGGAGAAAGTTTGCAACCGATTGAGAAGTACTCTTTTCAGAATGGCTCGGCACACTAGATCAGTGTTAAAGGTCGGTCAAATGATCAATCAAACTGCGTTTCGCCCTGGCCGAGGATGCATCAACCATATCTTTACGTTGAAACGAATTCTTGAACAGTGCCACTCCTTCAGACATTCCACAGCGATTGCTTTTTTTGATCTGAAAGATGCTTTTCATTTTGTCAACCGTCCAGCTTTTGCAGTGTCTGGCGATCGAAGGTGTCCCTTCCAAATTTCTCTCCTTTATGGGACACTGTATGCGAACTCTTGTGGGCGCGTGCGAGTATACGGAAAGCTTTCGCCTGAGTTCACCACGTCCAGTGGTGTAAGACAAAGCTGCCCTCTCTTCACCTTTCCCTTCAACTTGGATATTGATGTGCTGCTTGAAATTTCTGTGCCTCGAGAGTCGAAATGCTCCCAGGACGTTCGCTCATAGACGTTGAGTATGCGGACGATATTGTTCTCCTTGGTTCAGATCCTTCAAAAATGCAAATCATTCAAAACAACCTAAATAACACTGCCGCGTGCACTTCGTACCTGCAAAGTGTAAAGTGCCGCTACAGGACTGGGTGGGATCAAACCCACACCTCGTGCTTGGGTGTGAGCCAATCGACTTTGTAGATAAATTTGTTTACCTAAGCAGCTGTATAAGTCTTGGTGGACTGGCTAGAGATAAGATTACTTCTCAGGGCGCCGACGTAACGTCAGTTTGTCTCTCAAGGGTAGGGTTTACACTGCGGCAGTGCGATCCACACTGCCTTATGGATCAGAGACGTGGCTCCTACGCGCAAGGGATATACGGAAGATGTCAGCATTCGAGCACACTAGATCAGTGTTAAAGGTCGGTCAAATGATCAATCAAACTGCGTTTCGCCCTGGTCGAGGATGCATCAACCATATCTTTACGTGCCACTCCTTCAGACATTCCACAGCGATTGCTTTTTTTGATCTGAAAGATGCTTTTCATTTTGTCAACCGTCCAGCTTTTGCAGTGTCTGGCGATCGAAGGTGTCCCTTCCAAATTTCTCTCCTTTATGGGACATTGTATGCGAACTCTTGTGGGCGCGTGCGAGTATACGGAAAGCTTTCGCCTGAGTTCACCACGTCCAGTGGTGTAAGACAAAGCTGCCCTCTCTCACCTTTCCTCTTCAACTTGGATATTGATGTGCTGCTTGAAATTTCTGTGCCTCGAGAGTCGAAATGCTCCCAGGACGTTCGCTCATAGACGTTGAGTATGCGGACGATATTGTTCTCCTTGGTTCAGATCCTTCAAAAATGCAAATCATTCGAAACAACCTAAATAACACTGCCGCGTGCACTTCGTACCTGCAAAGTGTAAAGTGCCGCTACAGGACTGGGTGGGATCAAACCCACACCTCGTGCTTGGGTGTGAGCCAATCGACGTTGTAGATAAATTTGTTTACCTAAGCAGCTGTGTATGTCTTGGTGGACTGGCTAGAGATAAGATTACTTCTCAGGGCGCCGACGTAACGTCAGTTTGTCTCTCAAGGGTAGAGTTTACACTGCGGCAGTGCGATCCACACTGCTTTATGGATCAGAGACGTGGCTCCTACGCGCAGGGGATATACGGAAGATGTCAGCGTTCGATCATCGGTGTTTTCGAAGTATTGGTAGGGTATGGTGGGAACATCCGATCAGCGATGCCGAATTACGCTAGATGGTTTTAGGAAGAAGGAACTCTCCCGCGACAGATGAATCACTCACACTTCATAGGTTACGTTGGTTGGGGCATGTACTCCGTATGCCAGAATACCACCCGCTTCGCAAAGCTCTTTTCGTCCATCTATGTGCTGAGTGGAAGCGACCGNGAAGCTCTTTTCGTCCATCCATGTGCTGAGTGGAAGCGACCGAGCGGTGGACAGTGTATGACCTGGCAACGAATTGCGAAAATACTGACCCGTAAACGGAGTCGGGTCGACAGCTGCCACCTCCCTGGATGAGGACCCCGGGACTCAACTCACCAATGGTAAATGAAACTTACAGAAATGGTCCAGTCGCACAGTCTTTGGGGTCCATGCATCAAAGCTATCTCGGCTTCATGCGTAGCTATCCGATTCCCCAACTAACCAAACATGCCATCGCCTTCAGGGCTTCGCCGTATCTCCCTCCCGCCCGCTTTCTGATGATCCCAGCTACAACTACTGGAACCACACTGTCTCTGTTACACGGTCTATAGCTGATAAATTGAATTGAATTAAATGTTGTTACCAAGTCAATAGCCCACGAAACTTCAAACCCATTTAGGTATTTGCAATCACACAGCGAACTGGAATAAGTCACACCCCACACGGTTCTTTGCAATCACCTGGGTTCCTCATGGTAACACGGAAACCGCATAACTCGTTTTTCAGTTTAGGCACAGTGAGCGTATGTAAATAACAGGAACTATCTCCTTTGGGGTCCATGCATCAAAGCTATCTCGGCTTCATGCGTAGCTATCCGATTCCCCAACTAACCAAACATGCCATCACCTTCAGGGCTTCGCCGTATCTCCCGCACTCCCGCTTTCTGATGATCCCAGCTACAACTACTGGAACCACACTGTCTCTGTTACACGGTCTATAGCTGATAAATTGAATTGAATTAAATGTTGTTACCAAGTCAATAGCCCACAAAACTTCAAACCCATTTAGGTATTTGCAATCACACAGCGAACTGGAATAAGTCACACCCCACACGGTTCTTTGCAATCACCTGGGTTCCTCATGGTAACA